TCTTTCCTTCATGAGAAAAGAGCCAGAAAACTTAAACAATTGTGGAGTCAAACTCCAAATTATTAATGTCTGAGCAGGGAATTTGCGAGGTGTGATGTAGATAAACCTGAGATCCACTGGTAGTCTTGGCAACCAGAACTAATTCAAATTGCTCTGCTTTTAACTGAATTACTCCCTTCAAAAGCTTCATCTCCCTCTTTGTTCTGGATGAAGAGAAAACTTGCTACTGGCTTCACCTGGCCTTGAAGTCTTCTGTTTTCTCTTCTAGTTTGTTCTACAGTCTAGCGTGTAAGAAATCTTAAATGTAGTGATACCAGAGGAGAAGGTCTGAGAACAGTTTGGCAAGAACTTTCAACAGTTTGGTTTGGCTTTCCCCCTACCCCTCCTTTTTTTCTTTTCTTTTTTCTTCCCTGAGCTTCTAAGTCTCTAGCAAATAAACCTCTGTGCCATATGCTGTCCTAATGCTTCCCTGCTGGCCACAGGTGCTGAGTGATGCTGCTCACATCTGTACTTCCAGCCAGCATGTTTTGTATGTAGAAAGTGTCTAAGGAGTTAGTAATACTGGGTGTTGAGCTACTTGTTAGGTGGGGATATGTGGGATAGACCAGAAGGTCACTGAGTGTCTCTACTGCACCTTCTCCTTGTTTTATTAAAGTTAAAAGGAAAAAGCTTTTTGCTCTCTGCACATGTCTGGTGCTGAACACAGATAATATCTTGCTGAAAATGCTCTTAAGACAGAGAATGATGTTCCTGGTCAAGCATTTCAAATCTAACCACCTTTAGTTGTCAGTTTGGTGATTTTTCAGCCTCTGCTCTAGCTGCTGTTGATTGTTCATATTCCAACTCCATTGCTTTTGCTGCTTAAATGATATTCCAGCATCATCAGAGGGAAATATAATTGTGGTAAATCTCCAAAAAATAATGTTCCCAAAGTTATGGTAATAACTCTCTTCTGAGCTATTGTTCAGCATTGGTTCCTCCTGCTAAGATGCTGAAAACAGCTTAAGTCTATTTTGACCTCTAAGGCTGGTCAGCCACTTGGAATCCACCAGTCTAAACTTTTTATATAAAAAGCCATATAATGGATCTTCATGGCAGTAACTGATACCCTTTCATTTCCAAAGAGGGTTTATTTGTTGGTTTGAGAGGCTGTAATCAGTACTGGACTCCAGCAAAGGATCTACATCTTAGATTTCCCTTTTAATCAACCTGATGTAGTTTTCATTCTTGCTTGAGTCCATGTTGCTGGTCTAGATGTCACAGGGCAAAAAGATTTTGTGCCTGTCAAATGAATGATGAAGAGTATTAGCTTCGTTATAATTGCTCTGGCTAATCATTAGTGTCCTTTGGCAAGCAGCATCTGGTGGTGGTTTGATTTTGTATGTTGTACAATGCATACAATGTGTGTCTGCCATCAGAAACCCACTGGGAGAAACCCAATTCTCAAGAATTGGGGTCTGTGCTGTCAGCATTATTTTTTTCCTTAGAAGATGCTTCTCTCATCTCTCACTTCATAATTTGCTTCTCCATTTGCATAACTGTGAAGCTTTCTTTGCTGCCCATTGTTCTTTTGTGGCCACTGATTATTAACAGAACTGAAATTTAGCTTGAACTTGACAGCAAGTCCAGGAAATAGTCTCACGTGTGCTTCCCTGTCAATCAACTGCTTCCTTTATTATTTGTTACAGCAGGGTAGTGTTAGTCATTCTGTTCTTTCCTAATTGGAGTCTGCTGTAGAAGAGTAGAATCCACTTTGTGTTTAACAATCCTGGTTTGGTGCTGAGGAGGCTCTTGACTGTTCCCTTTGCGTAGGTCACTCATCAGCTGCTATGGCTGTGGATGGTGTGTGCTTCAGGAGATAAGGAATCTATCTGCCTGCCCCAAATCTTCCTAATTACTTGACATAAACCTGCTTTTATTTTATAACATGATGGAAGCATTAAACTCTTAAGGAATGTAGAGCCAAAAGACATTTTGTGGGGAGTCAGACACTGCCCTTGCATCCATGTGTGGGCGCTGTGCTTGGTTATAGAAGCTCTCCGTATATTTCATTCTCATTTGAACCTCTTGTCTGTTGCATTATTGATTTGGGAGGTTTTCAGGAGGTTGATAGAAGGGAAAAACTAGGTCAGGTACCATGTCTGTAGAAGTAGGAAAAATAACCTTCCATTTCCTTAGGAAACACTCTTAAGAGAGACAGAGAACTGTGGGAGAGAGTCCAGCAAGGGCAACTAAGATGACTGGGGGGTTGGAGCATCTCCCTGATGAGGAAAGGCTAAGAGAGCTGAGACTGTTCAGCCTGGAGAAGAGAAGGCTGAGGGGAGACCTTGTCAATGCCTACGAGTATCTAAAGAGTGGGTGCAGAGTCTGCTCAGTAGTTCCCAGTGACAGGACGAGGGGCAACGGGCACAAGCTGGAACATGGGAAGTGCCATTGAAATATGAGGAGAAACTTCTTGACTGTGAGAGTGACAGAGCCCTGGGACAGGCTGCCCAGGGAGGGTGTGGAGTCCCCTTCTCTGGAGACATTCAAGACCCCCCTGGATGCAGTCTTGAGTATTGTCCTCTGGACAATCCTGCTTTAGCAGGGGAGTTGGACTAGATGATCTCTAGACATCCCTTCCAACTCTGACAATTCCATGATTTCTTTACAGTTACGATTAAATTGTGTAGAAGTGCTGGTAATTTGGGGTCAAGAAGGTGATCTGTTGGTGTGATTTAGTTAGGACTTGGGACAGACACTGTGGATAAGCAGAGAGCAGGGCTAAGGCAGGGTAGAAGGATGCCTTAAAAACGTAGACATTTTTAACCATGCAGGGATTCTGCCTGGGAGGTGCAGGGTTTGCTTTCCATTTCCCTTCACCTGCAGAGAAAAACTGCCGGTAGGGAGATGAGTTTTCCAAGTGTGGATTTTTCAGTTTCTGGTTCTTCTCCCTGCAGGTGAGTGTGGTACAGGACTCGGTCAATATCTCCGGCCAGAACACGATGAACATGGTGAAGGTCCCGGAGTGTCGCTTGGCGGATGAGCTGGGAGGGCTCTGGGAGAACTCGCGCTTCACCGACTGCTGCCTGTGCGTGGCAGGCCAGGAGTTCCAGGGCCACAAAGCCATCCTGGCAGGTCGGTATTGAGTCAGGCCTTAGTGGGATAGGAGGAACACCACGATGGCAGCTGGGTTTTTTGGAGTCACTTCATCTTTAGAGGAGACTTCTGCAGCTCTTCTAACTGCAGAGCTGTAGTCAGGGACCGTTCTGTGAACTGTTTTGGGTAAAGAAGAAACATCTATATTTTTAATTGTCTATCTCCTCCCCTGGCGAGGAGGATTCT